GAAATCCGCCGGAAATACCTTTTTCCGGCGGATTTCCGGCGGATTTGGCCGCCGGAAAAAGTGGGTTTTTTGGTAGTGTAGGTAAACGGCCCCTAAGAGGACAAGACAATGGAGTCCATGGTAAAGTGGTTGGAGTCTGTTGGTCCCAAGAGGGTTAACAAGGCATAAAACAGTTTGTAGAAAGAGGAGGTAAATGAATACAACTTATTTCACTTTTTAAATTCGTTTATTGATTATAGAAAAGAATCAACAGAGATTAATTTACAGACTGTTGCGGAATAAGAAAATGAGATAACTCTAATCTAAAAAATCTTACTTTAAAACTTAGAGCACTTAGAATCTCTCAAGAACTTAAATAAAGAAATCACGAAGGTTTTTCTTGCACAAAACACTTAGAGAGAAGGAAGCGAGAAGATATCAACAGTAGTGAGAATGTGGGTCTTCTCAACTATTTATACTCTGTGCATCTAATGCATGCATCAGATATAATCCACATGTCATGAGGAGAGACGTAGGAAGGTACTACTTGTCAAAAACAAAGCAGTCTTTGGCCGCTCATGAACAGTGCTTCAGGGGAGTTGGTAGACGTGTGGGGAAAAATAAACCAGATTGTACTGTACCACATGTTAGTTTAGAGCATGAGAGTTGACTTGTGCAAATGAGAATAAGGCAAAAACTTGATACGTAAGATTCTGAATCAGCCTGGGAAGATGTCGTTGAGGACTTCTTCAGATATAACTGATCTTTTGAGTAAAGTTTCACATTTCTTCCAATAGGTTTGTTATCACTAAATGTCGTTTCAAGTCATTAACATCACTGTCTTTATCTTCAACTATTTCTTTGACATCGTTGAAGTTTCTTTTTGTGAGTCTTATCTTAAGAGAAAAACTTAAGTTCTAAAGACATTAGATAAATAACTCAACAATCACTGACAGACCCAGTCGTAGAATACATTCAAATAGAACTTACTAAGAGAAGTAAACACTAAGTAATTAGAATCATCATCAAATCACTGAGAGAGGTTAGAATCAACAGAGTAAAGGTATCTAGGGTGCATCCAATACACATACATTATCTGCACATGATTGGATTTGGTAGAACTGGACAAACAAGAGTGAGGTAGACATATGAAAGAACTGTGGAAGGTTTTGATATTTTTATTTAACATGGATAATTTAATAATTTACCAATAATGTCTCATCTTACTGATTTTTGACACACTCGGTTAGGGGTGTAAATGATATGAGTCGAGCTCGAGTATCATTATACTCGACTCGAACTTGAAACCCAATTCCTAAGCTCGAACTCGAAAACTCGCAAGTACTAAAAACTAAAGCTCGACTCGAACTCGATATAACTATTTCTTAATTATTTTGTTAGAATTTGATAATTATCTTAATTATATTTTAGATTTTTTATATTTTAAAATGAAATATTTATCATCTATTTGATTATGTTTATCTGCAGTTAGTTATATGAATTTAAACATGGAGCTTTAATAAGTTGTACTTATGTATAATTTACTTGTAATCTTGAATTTTAAGTAATATGCATTAATATGCAATCCTTTATGTATAAAAAATGATTTTTAAGAGTTTTTATCAAATGTTTTATAATATAATATAGATTTATTAATAATTATATA